ATGGGGAATCCAAAGCTGGTGAAGAAGGTCAGAAGGCCGATGGAAAAGCTGCCAAGACCTTGAACTAGAGCATGCCAGTGGATTTCAGAGTCACGTTTTGAGAGATGCTGGGGGGGGGGGGGTTCCTGCTTTGGGGATACTGGAGGGAAGCAGGATTTTCAGTATGAGGATTTATACGGTTTGGGAAGGGGGTGATCCATGCATCTCTAAAAACAGTCCCCTGATTATCTTGCTCACTGCTCCAGTAGAACCCTTTTGAATGATATGGCTCGTGGCATAAAGGTCTAACAGGAAAGAAATGCAGGATTTGTTTTTTTAAATTGTGTTTTAGATCATGAAAGCTGGGTATGGTAAACTTCAAGACCGGTACCTCAGTAAACACAGGAGACGGGATCTCTAGGATCTCTTGCCTTCTTATTTGTCTTTTTTAGAATATTTACAACTTGCCTTATCTCTTTCAACTCAAGATGGCTAACAAAGTAATAATAGCTGCAAGGACACAAAGAGAACAAAAGCTGTCCTATAACCAGACTAGAAACAATAGAAATACACCGTTTGGAAATGCCCAGAAACCATCTTTTCCCTCTCTTTATTTAAACATTTCTGTCTTGCCTGATCTCCTTGGCCTTAAGGAGGCAAACGGTGGTGTAGCAAAGTTGCAAGGACAGCTGGAAGTTTAGTTTAGTTTATTGCTACTACAGTCCTTAGACCAGATATGCTTACAAATATCTCTCCCTTATATATAATTGAGTAAGAAGCAGCGTCACGCAGCGGAGAGAAAATGCGCACCAACAGTGTTTGGAGGCTTGAACTGTCCGTCAGGAGCTTCCCCAGCTTCCATTGGCTGTGTCGCCTAAGTCCCATCTCAGAACGCAAAGCCTGTAGCCCTGCCTCTGCACCCGGTCCCCTCAGACGTCAGAGTACTGCTGACAACCACCTGGTGGGTGAGTGGGACTGGGGAGCACGATAAGCCGCTCGCTGCCACCCGACTCCCCCCCCCCCCAATTAGCCAGGGCTGGAGGGAATCAGTGGAAGGCCGGCTTTAATTTTCGCTCCCCCCCCCCACCTTCGCCAGCTTTCCGGGGGCAGCAGACGAGGGGTGGCGGCAGCGCTGAGCCAACCCCCGACACCCCTTTTCCCCACTACCCCCCCTTCCTCACTCTCTTTTTCTTTTTCCCTTTCTCCCTTCCTTCTTTCCCTCTCTCACTCTCTCCCTTCATCCCCATCGCCCCCCTCCTCCCTCCCCCTCCCTGTCTGTCTGTCTGTCTGGCTTACTGACTGTCTGTCTATGTCTTCCCCCCTCACCCTTCTTTATTTCTTCCTTCCTTCCTCTCTTTCTCCAAACCCCTCTATCCATCTAGCTATCTAGCTATCTACCACCCACCCACCCATCCTACCTTTCTGGGGCCCATTGTCTTCGTCCACAATGGGCTTTACATATATATATGTATATGACAAATACATTACAGATATATATACAAATACATTCCAGAAATTAAGAACTAGTATAAAAATTTCAGATATGAAGATAAAACGCTTCCAAATAAAACATTTCCAAAACACTCCTGAATAAAACATTTCCAAAGATTAGAAGCTATTGCAGAAATTACACTTGGATCTAACCACTGAACAATTTCCGTGACCTGAGTATCACCTTACAAAACCTGAGTGATCTTGGGATGTTGGTCAATTAGAAGAAATTCAAGTTTGTTTGTTTTGGCAGACCCGAGATTTCTCCTATCAGAGGGGTGATCATCTCTCGACACGCCACCTCCTAGTGTGGGCATTTGAAGAACATATGTTCTATAGTCTCTGTCTCCCTAAGTGGGCAGGTACAAAGCCTTTCCGCATAAGGAGTGTCCTTATATTTCCTGTCAAGTACAGCGGGAGGGAAAGGACAGCTGGAAACCGTCTCACATACTTTCTGGAAGGCAGCAGGAAGGTGCCTGTTCCAGAGGGACTGACCAACCATAGAAAAAGCTCCTGGCCTGACGGGTACCAAGCTGACGATCCTAAGGGAGGGTACCTCCAGCTCACAGAAATATTTTTATTATTGCACACAACAAAGGTGCCTTGGACTGTGTCGGGGTTTGTGTGTTTGTATTTGGTGTTGCTCTTCCCTCCCCCACACTTTGCAGTGGAGTTGTTTCCCCAAGCCCTTCGGCTTCTTGTGTTCACTTCCCTCCCCAAGAGTGTGCACTTAGGCCAAAATGCTGAAGCAGCACCACAGATGATGCAAAGGGCCATCTCAGTCATTACTGCTCTGACATAAAATGCATCTGTACAATGTGCGTATCATCGGTATGCGCATATTTATCTTTACATCTATAGCAGCAAAGCACAGCTACCACTCAGATATTTGCATACATTTTTAGAAGACCCTGGGTGCTGTCAACAGGGAAGTTCCCTGTACATGCCTTCTATATAGAAACGAAAGGGAGCTGGTAATCTCTCATCCATCACTTCTGAACAGGAGGCTCTTCTGATGGGTTGTAGGGTACCTGTTATCTCAGTGGCAATATATATCCTGCAAATGGCATATCTCACACACTTAATATTGTTTCCAAGATACTGGTTTAATATAGAATGATGATTCGTGATTGCTAGGTCAGTTCGGATAGTTAATTTTCACTGCAACATCTGTAAAGTGGGTGATCTGTCTTTTTTTGTGTCTGTGTGATGTTGTTAAGTGTTTCAGATTAGGTCAGGAGAGGCCAGTTTTCAAACCCACACTCAGCTTATGGCTCAGTAGTAGATCTCCTGCTTTGCTTGCAGAATGTTCCCGATTCAGTCCCCAGAATTGCCAGTTAAAAAAGGGTGAGGGTGCTGTGTGTTGAGGAAACCTCCCCCCGAGATCCCTGGCGAGCAGCCAGTCAGAGCAGACCATGTGGACCTTGGCAGAACAGTGATGCCCAGCTTGGCATAAGGCCGTTTCGTGGGTACAGAATTGCTCTTATATTAATGCAAGTGGGGAGACAGTTCAAAAGTGGCCTATGTGGACAGAGGGCCAGCGTGGTGTAGTGGTGAGAGTGTCAAACTAGGGTCTGGGAGGCCCAGGTTTGAGTCTCCACTGGTCCCATAGAAGCTTGCTGGCCGACCTTGGGCCCGTCACCCTTTCTCAGCCTAACCTACTTCTCAGGGTTCTTGTGCAGCTAAACTGGAGGAGGGGGAAATTACGTAGGTTACGTTGGGTCCTGACTGGGGAGAAAGGCAAGGTATAGACGAAGTAAATCAAAAGCAGGGAGGCACACAGAATACCAGCTTATTACATGACCTTGGCAATCCAGCTCATTTATTGAGGCCATCTGCTAAAGGGAGAAGAGCCATACTTTCTTTACTCCCAGGGCATTCTTGTGAGTCTTAAGTAATTAAGTAAATCTCAGGTGCTGCATAAGGCAAAATATTGATATAATCATGATATTGCTTTTTGCATTCAAAAAAATCAGTAAATGCACAAAGCATAGTATAGGGATGGGAGTTTTTTTGATGTTTGGTTTTGGAACGCGATCAGCATAATTCTCAGTAGACTCCTTGGATTGTTCATTGTAAAACGATGATGATTTCTCCATCATCTGTGACTGCAGTCAGATGTGCATTTTGCTGTTGTTGAATTGATTCTTAGCAATTTATTCTAAAGACTACTGAAGTCAGCAGGGATCCTTCAGACAGCTACAGGAGACACTGAAAAGTGCTTCAGCCCCTGTAGATTATTAATACCTTCAGGAGGCCTTTTCTGTACTGAGGGGCAAGAAAGGCTGTGTGGAAACTGGGCAAGACAGATGTTTACGAAGACTCTCCCAGAACACTGCTTTTTTGTTTGCAAAGTCAAAGTGCAACTGAACATTCTCAGAGCTTCTTATGAACGTCATTTTGGGGCAGTTCCACAAAGACCACCATAGCTGCATCTCTTCCAGGGGGAAACAGTTTGATGTTACAAGACTGCAGTGGAGCTGACCTGGGTCCCTGAAGTCTCTCCCTTTGAGCCTAACATCATGCTTGGAACTAAACCTTGCACGTTGAGCTTTCTCACACTTAACATGACGAATTGCACGAGAGTCTCGGAATAATCCCTTCCAATCTTATCTCATGCATTCCAGTTGGGTTGCTGGGTCCTCTTCCCGCCCCCCCCCCCCAATAGTACAAGGTATGCGGTGGGAGGAATGGTATGCAGAGGGAAGCTGAAAAGAAGCTTAGGTATGGAGTGGCATTTTCCAGTCCCTCATGATGGTTGTCATGAATTCCTGGCCTCTCTAGTACTTCCATAGATAATCACTGATGCCAAGATGTCATCCATCAGGCCGGGACAGCCTTAACCTACTGTCCTGGTCCATTTTCTGCCCTGGCCAACAGATGACACGTTGTGTGCATATTTAGATGCCTGTGGGGTGCCAGTTGCCATCATTTGTCACCATGCCACTTTTTGATACCATACCGGACTGGTTATGATGGATTCATTGCGGGGCTGTCATCTGTACCTCTCATGCTGCTAAGCATGGCACACACCACAGACTCTTGAATGCTCTCAGTACTTAGAGAAGTCATATATTCTAAGAAGGCTTCCTAAAATAACCTGCCTTCTAGACACTGCAGCTGAACGATTTCAAAGGCTGCGAAGGAATTCAAATACTCTCTGCCATAATAGAATTCCCTTCCAACCCCAAATGTGAAATGTGGCCCCGACAAATTGAAGAGGGTTCCTCCTGTATAACATCACCACTTCCCAAATGAGTTCTGAAGGGCTCCATTGTGACGGGAGGAGAAGTTTTGTTTTTGTTTTTTTGAGAGATGTGATCGTTACAGCTTACAGTGCATCCCCTGTTTAATTATTTTTTATTTTATTTTTTTTGCTTGCTCTGTCCTCCATGCTACTAACCTGACTGTTTTTTGTTTCCTGTTTGGGGGTTTGCTTTGCATGTCCTTCCTTCTTCTTGGCTGACCGGCGTGTGGTGTCGATCCCTCTTCCTCTCTATGATTCAGGTGCCTCACTCTTTCCTTTCCAGGTTCTTCCAGTTCTTTTAATATGTCAAACTCTGGAGATTTGTTCATGAGCGTGCAGTCCCTCAATGGGGATTCTTACCAAGGGGCCCAGGTTGGAGCCAACGTGCAGTCACAGGTAGGGATCCACCACCGGACACGCAGCTGCCGCCCGCGAGTGCGCATCAAGTGTTAGAACAAAGAGCCTTTGAATGACCCTATTGGCTTCCCCCATTCCTGTCCCAAGAGAGGAATCAAAACTTGGTACCCTACTTTTAATGGTAACAGCCAACCAAAAAAACAAAAACAAAAAATCTTGCAATTTTTTTAAAAAAATTGTCCACACTTTGTGAATGCATTTGGCTCTGGCTTGATACGTTAACGCTAGGAAGAATTGGGATTTAAAAGTTTGAAAGGAAAGAATACCCACCACCCAAGGTTTGATTTGCTTAATGGGTGTTCTGGAAGAAGGGACAAAGTATTTGTACGAAAGCTTATTTTTCACCGTCCATTGCCATCATCTTCTGCTGAAGTCTCATGAGAGAGTGATGCTGAACTACAGAAGTTCTCTCGTCCTCCTCCACCCCATTTCAAACCAGACTTATGCAACCACCCTGCGCTAGAATCCAGTTTGGAAGGGAAGAGTGTGGGGAATTACCTCAGTAGCGTGAACTTGTTCTCCTCAGTGAAAAGAGCTCAACTGAAGGCTCTGCTATTCCAGCCTCACAGCAAAAAAAATCCCTGTATCTGCCCCCATCCCACTGGGAATCTGAGCCATATCGACAACCATGCAAGCATTCTTGTTGTGCAACAAAGTGTTTCGAAAGCCAAGTCAAGTTCCATTGGTATCTGAAGGCAGAGTTTGCACTAGATGGCAGGTAGCTGACGATGGTCAAGAAGGTTGAGGAGCCTTGAGACTCAGGGTGTCAACACTCTTGTACTCACCTATGTTGTCAAGGTTCTTCGGTTTCAGGTGGCATTGAGAAGCCTTGTGCTGAACGATTGATGGATGGAATTGGAGTAACACACTAAGTGTAGATTTGGTGTCCCCAAACAGCATTGCAAAACTCAGCCAAAATATCTCCAGTCAACTTACCTGCCCCCTCCCCTGTGTATTTTTCTTCCAACCTTCCATTTCAGTACTAAGAATCCAATATGAAAAGCTAATATCAGAGTCTGGGGTAGTGGGCAGGGTAACAAAAGTTGAAGGAGGAAGCTTCTCTTTCTCTTTTGGGTCCTCTTATGGGTAAACATTGGGAGATCGTACAGCAGAATTGAATGAGCAAAAGCAAATACAAGACTTGTGTTTTCATCTCTGTGCTTCCACTAATTCTCTCTTTGTTGTCATTTTGGTCTGTTTAGGTGGATACCCTTCGCCATGTTATCAGCCAGACAGGAGGATACAGTGATGGGCTCGCAGCGAGTCAGATGTATAGTCCGCAGGGCATCAGTGTAAGAAAAATAGGCTTCCTTTTTCCCCCCTTCTCTCTCTCTCTCTCTCTCTCCCCCCCCCCAATTATTTCAAAGCCATAGGGCTCAGAATGCCACTTAGTACGACTTGTCTTAGCTTTACGGTCACCTAGTTTATTGCTTCTGTATCGGTCACGCCAACGGCAGAGTTCTATCTGCAAAAGGAAGGGGGGAAAAGTGGCGACTGGGCAGGACTTGTGCAGGCAGCTGGCGTCTAGGGCTGTCAGACCCAATCAGCATTCGCAAGGCACCTGCGGCCACTCGCGTTCTGCTGAGAGGAGCTGCTAAACAGGTGACACCTAGTACAGGAGCAGTCGGGGATGTCACCACAAGGACCCTTGATAGCTCCAACGAGAAGGCCAGTCACTGGGGTCCCTCTCACCACTGTGTACGCCAGCTAAAAACATTGTGGGGCCCCGCGCCAGTCGGGGTCAGAAGCCCAAAATGACACGGTTGTGGTTGTGGTTGTCGTTTTATCATTTATTATTGTTCATGTTGTTGTTTATTGTTGTTGTTACCATTTATTATTATAGAAACATAACAAAAAGGAGGGGTGGGGACGGAGGGAGGGAGGGAACATCTTCTCCTTGTTCTAAGTTGCGCTGGCGGCTCCTGACTGGCATGAAAATGCATAGCGACAAGCTGTGTCGCACAGAGCGAAATCGATCAGACAGACACAAGGAGAGCCGAGTGTGGATTCGGGACAGCAATCCAACTTCATTTCTCAGATCAATCATCCGCCCTCTCAGCGGCCGTGACAGCAAGCTGGGACAGGAGGGCAGCCTGGAAAAGGAGGCTCTGCCACTCACGGCATCCGGGGGCTCCCCTTGGCCTCTTTGGAGGTCGGAGGGAGACCCACCTGCAAGCACAGAACCACACGGCTCGAAAGCCTCGGCTGTCCTTGCGGACCCACCTTGGCCACAAGGGGGGCCCTTTGGGGTGGTTACGAAGGGGTCCGTGCAGACACGAGAAGCTTCCCTCCCACCTACTCCAACTGTGACCTTCAGGATTTCCGTGGCCCTTGTCGCTCGCTGGAGTGCTGAGCAAAGCAGGACTTTTCTCTGTGGGGAATGTACCGCATGCCGCCACTGGCCCTGCCAGGCATTCTCCATGAGCTCATGTCAGTTTGAAATAAGAGTACCACGGGTAAGATGTGAAGTGAGGGAAAGCATTAAAACTGCTTGCTAAGATCTCATCTCGCTCGCTCGCTTCCCTTTTTTTCTTTTTTGGTTGTAATGCAAAAATTATAGCCCGTGAAAGCCATGCCTTTAGATGACCCAGGTGCATTCCAAACTTACATGGCCATGGGTCGGGTAAGATCGCCTGTGTGAGAGGCTTGGGGATTTTGTGTTGGTGGGGACCACGATGGGCAATGCAGGTTAACTAAGAGCCATTGGGCACATTACGCAGAAGGCGGCAGTCTAAGTGAATGTCTGGCGATGACGGGGCAGCCATGTGGGTGGTTCTCTTCTAAAGCAGGAGGTGGTGAGGTCTTATTTCAACATCCAGGAGCACAAACTAGGGGAAAGAGCTGAACACGTCTTCCTCTGACTTCCCTGTGCTCCTTCACTTTGGGTGCTTTCCTCCCCTCCCTGCTCTGATACAAGAAGTGTTGGGGGGGGGGATTCTGCTCCCCCCCCCCTCAACATGCTTCATTTGATTGAACTTACTTATATTTATTAGCTTCTATGATCAAAGGTCTTCAGCTCAATTATAAAAGATGAATTTGATTGAAAGCTGTACACAAACAGAGCTGAGGCAGGCAAATGGCACTTGAATAGCCAGTTTGGCTGCTCCTCGCGGGCGTAGGGTGAAGGCTTGTGTCAATAGTGCACCAGAAAGCCTTCCGTAGCATTATGGAGGTGGAGGATTCAGTGTTCACACCAGTGTCTGGCTGCCACCAGTGAGAAAAAAGCTTCCGGGTTTCCAGGGCAGGGCTTGGGTACAACGTGTGGCCATGAGCCCCATGGTGAGAGAACCCTGGGGTGGCCTCCTGCTGCTTCGTCCTGCTTCGATGTGTAGACTGGCTCTCCCCAGTGCACCCCGCAAACGTGCTCGGAGGGGCAACTGGGCACCGGAGACTTAATCTCCAGCCCCAGTGCCATGGGAAAAATGGCGGCATTGGTGCAGTGTCTCATGATACACTTGGGTTCTGTTTCCAAAACAAGAGGACACTTCGTGCAGCAGTGGCACTACTGGAATTCTCTAGCACCGTCTTTTTCGGTGAATCAGTGTGTTTTTATCATTTTAAACCATACACGTTATGAATTGACTATGTTGTACACCGCCCTGAGCCCTGCCCTGGCAGAGGGAGGGTGGTCTAAAAATCTAATGAAATAAATAAGTACGTAATTTGAGTGTTTTCCATTGCAAGAAGTGACTCCTTGTGAAGCCCCTGTTGAGTGACAAGAAAGGGTGGGCAGGTCACGGAGCTTGGCTGTAGGTCTTTGTTGTCGGCTTTCCGAGCAGGCTTCATCTGATTTCAGTAGAGGCCTCTGAGCTCCCACACTTCGCACCCAGCCCTGACGTCAGCAGGCAGAGACAGCAAAGCGCTCTGAAGTAAATGCAACTGAACATGTGCCGGCAATTATGTCTGATTATATAAACCCCTTGCAAAAACCGGGCTCGAAAAATGCCACATGAAAGAGCCCATCGCTCCACATTAATCTCCAGTAGCCGAATTCATTTCCATTCCTGGCTCTTTAATACTGAGGAGTAAATGAATCGGAGGCTGATTGTGATAAGAGATGATACTTCGGTACACATTAATCCTTCCTCCCTACCTCCCCTTCCTCAAGACGAAGCTCCGCTCCCTGCATCTGAATACATTCACACACATATACACATATGAAAACAGCGGTATTCAGGGTTAAGCTGCAGCGCACAGGGATTCGCTTTCAAAGGAAGGAGGCACAGAAGGGAAGGAGAGGCAGAAGCCTGAATGGGCCGTGGAATTGCCACACGTGGGCACACCAGGTGCAGAGCTGGAGCTGGCTAATTAAGAAAAGAGAATCTGCAAAATGGGAATCAGCAGCAGTATTGAAAAGGACACTATGTAATTTGCTTTTGCCTTCATGCCATTCTGACCAAGTTATTCTGGAAGAGAGAAGGAAGGTCTGATTTGAAAAGGATGATTAGGAGAAAGGCGGCGGGGCATTAGGAAGGAGGGCAAGCTGTCCTTCATTCCACAAGAAACAATTAACTTAAACCGCAGCAAGGTACCTTTAAATTAGATGCCAGGAACCCCTTCCTAACACAGAGCAGCGTCAGCAGTGCAGCCAGTTTCCAAGAGTGACGTCCTGATAGGTTTTCCAAGGGGAGATCAGAAAAGACAAGACAGAAAATCTACTCAGTGGCAGATGCCCCCCCCCAACCCCCCCCCATGGTAAGGCTACAGGATAAGCATGCAAAAAAGATGATATAAGTTATCAGTGGACCTCCACATTGAGTCTTGCCAGCATTAGAGGCTTCGCAGTCAAGGAACGGTGATCATATTCATCCCTTGACACAAGACTCCGCCCTCTCCGTATCCCATTACACAAGACTCCGCCCTCTCTGTACGTTGTTTTCACAGGCTAGGACACGGGCTCCCCTTTACTGGGCAAAAGAGCCAGTGACTCCGATGAGGAAGAAGCTGAGGTCCTGGAACCAACCCCAGTAGGCAGCATCGCGGGGCCCTCCAGGAGCCTCGCCCAGCATCCAGGAGGAGCTCCAAGAGACCGGGTCAGGTTTCTCTCACACTGGGAAGTAGCCTGGCCGTCCTCCTCAGACCCTGCTGTCATGGTTTCTCCCCCTCACCCCAGTCCAGGGATGGGGAGAGAAACCAAGCGTTCAGGAACAATTAAACAAACGCCAGGAGAATGTCTGTACACTCTCCAGGCCTTATCGGTAGTCTGCCACCAGGATCTCTCGTTAACCAGTCCCACGCCACAGCTCAGGAGCAGAGATCCCAAACTTCTTCTTGCTTTATGGGACTGACCCACTTGACCAGCTCTGCACCAGGGCTGCAAACAATTAAGTACCACAGTGGCAGCCTCCTTAGGTGAACGGCTTTAGGCACAAGATTCAGTCTTAGAGATCAGGTTGCAACAGAGGAAACAGGTCCAGATAATATTGATTATATATTACCTTTATTCAGTGCACGAGCATGCATATAACATGAGACTAGCAAAAGATACGAAACAAAAGATATCTATAGCTTGTTTAGCTCTAGCTACACGATAGAGGTAATTCATAGTTACCAGGCTGGTGTGCAAACAGTCTCAGTGATTTCTCTCCCCTGCCGCAGCCCTGTAATTGGCAGGGACTCTGCCATCTATTATTATTCTACTTCTACTACTGCTACTTCATTTCTCCCAAGTGGGGACCCAAAGTGGCATACACTGTTCCCCTTTCCTCCGTTTTATCCTCAGAACAACCCTGCAAGGTAGGTTAGGCTGAGAGGGGCCCAAGGTCGCCCAGCACACTCCCCTGGTAGGGTGGGGATTCGAACCTGGGTTTCTCAGATCCTAGTCATAAGAACATAAGGGAAGCCAATGTTGGATCAGGCCAATGGTCCCTCCAGCCCAGCACTCTGTATCACACAGTGGCCAGAAATACCAGGTGCCATCAGGAGGTCCATCAGTGGGGCCAGGACACCAGAAGCCCTCCCACTGTTGACCC